AACTAGCTTATAAGCTATAGAATTATTAGTTTACTAATTAATACTTTTATAGTATTTTAAACTATTAAATATTTTATTATTAAGATTATTCTACTAAACTATACTTTATATACTTTTTTACTTATATAAACTATTCTATATACTTATATTAGTAGAATATTATTTTCTCTAATATTAATAAAATATAATTAGATCTCTAGTTATAAAGCTAGAATACTTAATATACTTATATTAATATTAAATATAGTATATTTCAGCTAAGTATCTTAAGTAAAGGCTAATTAATTATAGATTATTATATTACTTACTATATAGCTTATCTTATAAGGTTTTTAGCTACTAAAAGTATACACTAGTATATTACGTAGTATATTCTCTAAGAAAGAGTTTAGTTATTTCTTTTTAGTAAAGCTTAATAGTAAAAAATCTTGTTAGGTCTTAGATTTATAAAGCTTTAATCTATAAGGTTTTTTACTAATCTGTCTTTAAATTCTTGTTTTAGATTCTTTGTTAGACAAAGTGTAAGGCAAAATATTAAGCAGAAGCGATGCATTTCTTATCTAGCTAGCTAGCATTCTACAGCAAACTATAGAATGTGCGTCTACTTCGCGAACCTCCAGCTGTTCACAACCCCCGTGCGCTCCTCCTCTGCGACCAAAGCCTTGTTCTTCTTACTACACCACCACTTCGTCACCAAACATAGCACTATAGTCAAGCCACATCCGGCGATAATGCAGCCGCCTCCAGTCTCGTACCTCGGCTCCTGATTCCTTAAGAAGAAATACGGCGTGAACCAATGACTTACACTTGACACGCAGTTTGCGATAGCAATGAGTGCCGCCCTTTTCGTTCGTGGTCGCGGCACAACGGTAGTCTCCCACGAAAGCTGGATATTCAAGCCTACGAACGGGCCACAGCAGAGCAATATCATGGAGTAATACCGTGCACCTGTGTTGAGAGTGCTGATCATGATGATTGCGCCGATCAGGGTAGTCGAAATAGCGCCGATGATGTGATAGCCATGCTCGAGCATGCGACCAGACGACCACGAGACGACGAGCGTCACAATGTAGGCGATGACGTATGGTGGAGCTTGTACAAGGTAAGTCTCGACCTCTCCAAAGCCAAGGGTGTCCATGATGGATGGGAAAAAGTCCTTGAACGACTGGGCGATAATCAGGGAGAAGTGGATGCCAGCAAACAGCCACGTGAACGGGTCCCGAATCGCCTGCATTAGGCCGCCAATGTAGTCGCCTTCGTCATCCTCCGTCACGCATCCGGAAGATACGGATTGTCGGTATTGCGCCATCTGCTGCTCTTCTAGAGTGAAGTAGTACGTTCCAGTGTTGTTAGGGAAGTTTGGTAGAAGCCAGAAGCCAGGGATGGCAACCATGATGGACACGATACCCTCGAGCAAGAGGAACCACTGCCACGCGTGCAAACCCGCGATGTTGTCCATGTTGGTCAAGATGCCTGCTGCAAGGAGACCAGAGAAGACATTTGATACGATGTTTCCCGCGTGCCAGATGGCCATGCGCAAAGGGCTCTCTTGCTTTGTATACCAGCTCGACGTCATGAGCGCCACGACCGGGAGGAATGGGCCCTCGGTGAACCCTACGAGGAAACGACAAAGCATAAAGTGCCAGGGTCGGGTGCAAGCAGGCATGCATATCGTGACGGAGGACCACGCGAGCATGATGCATGGCATCCAGATACGAGGCTTCTGCTTGGACATGATGATGTTGGCTGGCACCTGTGAGATGATGTATCCCACGTAAAAGAGCGAGATGCCAGCAGACCACTCCACATCCGTCATGTGGATATCATGCTGCATACCAGCAAGACGTGCATTTGAGACGTTGATGCGGTCGAGGTAGCTGTCGAACGTTAGTCTATGTGCTTCCGCGCCACAATAGCTTGGAAGCTGCCTTACTTCATCAAGAGCATTAAGGTGATGATAAGCAGAAACTTCCAGTCGAGCTTCTTCAGAACAGCCTTGTTCAGCCTGTCAAGTTCATCTTTGGTCTTGCCTCGCAGCAGAGGGTAGTGTTGAAGGAAGGTCTCGGCTTCCGAAAGTCCAGCATCCTCCACCTTGATGACTTCACAACTCCCCTTCAACGATTTATCGTCGCTAGTCATGGAGGCGGTCGCGGGAATAGAGAATAGATGGATGACGGATTTGAAGGAGGAAAGGCCCGAGCAGTGTGGTGTAAAGCAACGGCTCTTCGAAGGCAGCGGCTTCTTTATACCTGGCTACATGGGTTATCTTCTTCCAAGTGTCGATGTAGTGAGCATCTGCCAATGCGCACTGCCGTCCTTCATGGCCTCGCTATAGCATCCTGTTTGGCTTCAACGACGTCCAGCGTGCGGGGATGGTTTGTGCCGTCCACGCCTTCCCCGGACCCCAGACGCGCTATGCTCCGCGCGCCTGGGCGATGTCTGTGGAGTCAACGTTTCCGGTGGTCGCCCGATGTGCGTGACATCTCGGTGGCCATCCGATAATTGCGCTACGCGTCGGTGGTCGCCCGTAGCGTCCCGTGGAAGCGGGGCAAGAAGTAACGCGTGAACGCGGATGCAGCTGGAGCGCCTGAAGGACCCTGCATGACTCAGGCACGGCACGCGGCTGACACACGTCCGCCTCGCCACCCCCCTCATTATCCACCGTCAACATCGACAACGCTGACGTGCCATTCGCGGCCGGGCGCTATGTGCGCTGATGCTCGGCGCTTCGGTCATGCTCCGAAGGCATCACGGTGACCGGCTGCGGCCGCTGGCATACACTACTATGCTGGGTAAGCTCATTCTACAGGAGTCTGCGTTCACGTACATATGACAGTCGGTATTGCTACGACAAGAACTCTTGTATAGCTCAAAGTCTATCCAAACCCCTCTTGTTGAATCATTCACCCAACCTCAGAGCTCGATAACACCCGCAATCATGGCGGAACTCACTCTTCACAACTCGATCCGGGAGAAGATGCTCCGCGATGAGGTAGCCTACACGCTGTCCGTAAAGCTTGTTCGCAGCGTTGAGCTTCCGATGATGGCGAAGACCGCGGGATTTGATGGTATTCTCATCGACATGGAGCACTCAACCTTTGACTTGGACACGACCAGTACGTTCTCTCCTCATCGCCCCGCCCCTCCCCATAAACCTCGGAGCTAACATCGGATAGGTCAGATCTGTATTGCAGCCCTTTACGCCGGCATTTCACCCATAGTCCGCGTCCCATCCAAAGACCCTTTCTTCGTCTCTCGGGTACTTGACGGAGGTGCCATGGGCGTTATAGTTCCGCACATCCGCTCTGTACAAGACGCCAAAGATGTGGTAGCCGCCGCCAAATTCCAGCCCCTTGGTCATCGCTCCTCGACGAACAACATGCCACAATTCCAGTACCGACACCTCGCCGCAAAGGCAATGAGTCCTGTGTGCAATCGCGAAACCCTTGTCATTCCCATGGTAGAGACGCTTGAAGCAGTCGAATGTGTTGAAGAGCTAGCCGCCATTGAGGGCGTTGACAGTCTACTGATCGGCACTAATGACATGTGCGCCGAGCTGGGTATTCCAGGACAATACGAGAGTCCGCAGCTACTTGAAGTGTATGAGAAGACGATTGAAGCCTGCAAGAAGCACGGCAAATGGGTTGGCGTAGGAGGCCTGCACTCAAGATTAGACCTTGTGGAGAAGTTCTGCAAGATGGGCGCGCGATGGGTTATGGCGGCGACAGATGGACCGCTGCTACTCGGTGGAGCTACGAAGCGAGCAGGCGAGATGGCACAACTGAACGCAAGGGTCAAGAGTTCTACTGAGGCCACTCAGCCTGAGACGAACGGAGCCACTGTTGCGTCAACCAGCGGAATTATCGATGCATTAAAAGAAAAGGCTAGTGTGACAGTACAAGAATTGAAGATGAACGATCACGTCAATGGGCATGGCAATGTATTAGCAAGCTCTTAGCTGTCGACATCTTGTATCATATAACAGAATGTCGGTTCACATATGTAATCTGGATATACTCAACCATGATGACTAGTCTCAAATTCGCGATAATTTGATGTAAAGCGTTCGCTCGTAGAATGATCCTGACTGCGAGATCCGAGACGCGCTAGCTTCCGGTTTGGTATCCGGTACCTCGGTTCCTTCACGACTTCGAAACCACCATCTTTGAACCCAGGAGCTAACTCTACTATCATCCACCAACATGATAAACTTGCAATCGCAAGCCTGCGAAAGATGCTGGAAGCGGAAACAGAAGGTTGGTGGTTACTCCTTCTTTGCACATAAATGACAGCACGTCAAGTCTGCTCGATACCTGTTTCTTCCCACAATTTGCGATCGAACCCGCGCACATAATCACTGCAATTCCATCGCACCCTCAAAAGACTTACCTGGTACCTAGTGCTCTCGAGATACTCCAACGTGTCAGCAATGTCGCGTCGCCGCATCGCAATGCGTGCAACGTCGCCTTGGCTCCGTAATCGACGCTTCGGATCCATCTTCCGTCTCATACATTGAGTCTTTGAAGTCGAGAATTGCCACCCTGGAAGCCAGGAGCAACCGGCATTCTGACATGCAGCACGAGGTCATGAGCGATCAAGAGTCACCAGTTCACCCTTGGAATAGCAATTTGTCCACGTCTGGCACTCCCCATGGGCCAAATGCTGGGACGATAGACTCATCGGTAGTCGAGCCCGGGTCGAGCAACGACTTACATCATGCAATGCACGAAGCCAATTACTTAAGTCTTAGTGCAATGGCAGAGCCGACAGACCGACAGCCATTTTCGAACCAGGGACTTTCGTTCTCGACGTTATTTCTTGCCGCGGCGAGTATAGGCAACACCAACCCGAGCAGCCCCATCGGAACCAACACATCACTTTCTGGGCCTATGGCGGACTTTCGTAACGAGTTATTCTCCCAGGGCAGTAAACTAGATGGTGCTCGGGCGGCTGAAGCGTTCAGATGGTTTGTCAAAGTAGCTCCCACAACCTTTCCCGTAATGACGCGCAGCGAGCTCGAAGACTTGTACAGCATCGTCGTAACGGCCGAGAGAGATACAAACGTTGGCATGATGATGGACGAGTCGCCAGAGAAGATCCTACTTATCAGAGTAGGCATTGCACTCGGGTTACTGCTATCGCCGGATCACAGCTTCACGGAAGTCTTGATAACTGAGTTGACAACAAAGGCCGCGCAACTCATGCCTCGCATACTCAACCAGTCGAGCGACTTGGCAGTCGTGCAATGTCTCACAGCTCTTGCTATATGTTCACTCTACACCACACATTGCGGATCTTCCTGGCATTTACTTGGACTGGCCATGACGCGCTGTATATCCGCCGGTATGCACACGTCACGCATCTCCGACACGAGCTCAGACAGCGAGACCAAAAGACAGAACGGGAGAGCTTTTTGGACCTTGTACATCCTGGACACCCACCTCAGTACGGCTATGGATCGGCCATTTTGTCTCAACGATGGCAATATCATGATGTCGCCACCAGCTTCCCCACAGCCTGCAGCAACGGATGCGGAAGTGAACGCTTTGCGATATCTCATACAACACGCGCAGCTCTTGCGCTCGACTCGAAAGCACACTGATGTAGATTTGCTTTGTCACTTCATCAATCTATGTCATTGGAGAGAAACAGTACCGAACGCAGTGATACCAGACGATCTGCTCAAAGACCAATTGCATGCCAGTGGTCTCGCGGAAATAATCAAGTGCCCAGGTTTGGCACAAGATCCCGGTCGAGACATGATGTTGCGACACATCGAAGAGCACTTCGTTGGCTACGCGGCTTCCGTCGAACACCAGCTTACCGGTAGAGAGCGGGCGTCAGGGGCTCTCGATGGCTACCTGATCTTCTTCATCGGTCTTTTCATCGCATCGCTGCCGCCTACCCAGGAGCGACAAAGATGCGTACTTCAATGCCTGAGCAGTCTCACTGTGCTCTCAATTCATTACACTGCTCTCCAAGGCTTTCGCAACATCCTCATGGCAATCCAATCTCGACCATCATCTCACGAGCATCTCAAAAGCTTAGTGGCCGCGTCAGAGATCGCGGTGTCGTGCCATGTGCGACGACTCATCTTCGGCAGTGTGTGAGCGGGCAAAGCCAACAACAGCTGAAAAACGCTGACATCCCATTGAGAGTCTCAACGCTCACGTCATTTGCGCTGCTAGATCTAGTTCCGATTTGCAGTAATCATGAGGCGCGGTGTTCCAATCCGACATAGCAGAGCGGCCCCGGAAAAGACATGGGTGAGGGGTCGTTTCGCTCGGGCAGTCGGACACCCCCCGAAGCTAGCGCTGCGGCCCTTTCGGTGATCGCCCGACGAGCTCTGTTGCTCCGCACATGACCCAATCCGCAGGTGTACTGATACGGCATTGGCTTCTGCATCAGATTCAGATGTGGAGTCTACTTCTAATCCCCGGCGCGTGGGTAGTGCGGCTATCCACATACATCTAGGTATACATCACTTTGGGTGTGGCTGCCATATACTATCAAGACGCGCAGTGCGACATTACTTTGGACTTCAAACTCTCCTCACAAACCTATCCGAGTCGCTTGCTTCACGCAATCGTTGTCATCATGGCTCCCGCACTTATCGAATCAGAGACATTTGCCCCCTCTTCGTCACCGTCAAATGGAGTAGACAAGGCTACTGTTTACCTGCTCGATACACTGCATCCCAAAGCCATAGAACGCGCACAGTCATTGTTCAACGCTATCCTCCCTTCAGACCCCAAGCATTCGGAATGGAGGGGAAAGGCCGAATATCTGGTCATTCGCGGATCATACCTTACCGCAGAAGACGTCGAAGCATGCAAGAATCTCAAGGCCATCGGCAAACAGGGCGTTGGAATCGACAAGATTGATGGCGAGGCCTGCAGAGCGCGCGGTATCAAAATCTTCAACACGCCTGGAGTGAATGCGCAGGCTGTCGCGGAGACGGTGCTTACGCTCACGATGTCTGTGGCTCGCGAAGTTGGTCGCATAACAGCGCTGCAAAGTGCCGGATTTAGCGTGCCGAAAGAGACTTGCTCGGGCTTGATCATCAACAAGAAGACGGTCGGGATCGTGGGTATGGGTAACATCGGCCGCAAGGTTGCGCAAATCTTCCAAGGCGGATTAGGGTGTCGCATCGTAGCGTACGACCCACTACTGCCAAAGGATGCTTGGGAAGACATCGCGCATACCCGAGCAGAGACTCTTGAGGAGGTTCTTCGAGCTTCAGATGTGGTAACATTACACGTTCCTCTAATACCACAGACCCGTGGTCTCATATCGTATGAACAGTTCAAGATCATGAAGCCCACTTCCATCTTGATCAACGCGGCCAGAGGCGGGATTGTGGATGAGGCTGATCTCGAACGCGCCTTGAGGGAAGGCCTGATCTGGGGTGCGGGTCTTGACTGCCATGAGAATGAGCCTCCGAACAAAGATAAATATGGTAGTTTGTGGGAAACAGGACGGGTCGTGAGCACTCCGCACGTAGGTGCTGCAACGGCCGAGACGCAAATGGAGACTGCAATGGCGGCAGTGGATCGATTGTATGACTACATCCAGACTGTACAGGCGCTCTAGCTAGAGTGCTGCTCACCGAATCGTGTCCGATTCTGTTTCTAGACCTTTCCTTTGTTTAATTGTAGGAGAAAGAATCCCAATAGTCTACGTTAGTGTTCAACGAGCCCCATGCGTACTCGCCCAACCCGTATTCAAGTTGGTTCATAAGGTCATCAGTCAGACCCATGCCAAAGTCTTGCGAACCTTGGTTATTTGGAAGGTCAGGAAAGTCTCCAAGCATCAAGTGATCCAGATTTACCCGTTCTTGCTGCTCGCCAACCGATTGAGAGTGATCTGCAGTGATGGTGTCTACGCTCAGATGCAGCGAACCCGCATTGAGGAGGTGATTGGGATAGACTTGCGTATCATGGGCTGGAAGCAGTTGATGAATTGGCTGGGTTGGGTTTACGGGGACATTTTCTGACACCTGTAATGCAGATGCAAACCGATCTTTGACGAACTCTGCTAGTATGACGGTGAAGGCAGTGGCGAAAGAACCTGCGTCTGGCATTTTGTCTTTGAAGTAGTTCAACAACGCACTGCAAGTGTTCAGTGTTGGCAGGGCTTCGGTATGAGTGACAGAGAGCTCGTCATTGTCGGTCAAGACCCCCAGGATAATGCAATAGATGACAGTAAGACCTGCAGTAAAGATCATCTGAAAGTAGCTGCGTGTCCAAGTGATGGCATTCTTGCTTCGAAGGTCTGCATACAGTTGTATTGTATGTATCGCTGATTGATAGCACGCTTTCAGTATCTCCTTTACGATGGACGTTCCGGAAAACTGCCGCGCTGGTAGGTTGTGCATGGCGCCACGGGCAAGCAGGAGGCGGTCCTTCTCGTACATGAAGTCATGCCATTCAGTACGCTCGTACAGACATTTGGGGTCTACGAAGACTGGTACTGATGATCGCAATGCACGGAGATCTTTGTCGAATTGCGAGAACGATGAGTATATGTGGCCTATCGAGTGGTATCCGGGCGTGCGAGTGTTGTCTCCACTATGGTGTGAGGCGGGCTTTCGACCAGCGTAAAAGGCAGTGTGCACCCGAGAGCTTAGCCGTCGCAGCTTGATGCAAAACAAGTTGACTGATAGCTCGCTTGGATGAACGTTCGTAATATTGGGAACTTCCTCAAGTACACCAGCACCTGATGTTTCGATTGTTTCGTCGTCAGCATCTATTGGTAATGGCATGCTTATTTCCGACTCGAGAAGAGCGAAAGGACGACCTAATATGCCTGAGCTGTAGCGGTCGTGGACGTAGCACTCCCAGAATATCCTACGCTGGTGTTGTTCTTTCAATAGGCTCAAGCCGTCATGTGCCTTCGAATGAAGACCCCATTCAATGCACTGCCGCATACACAAGCGGGATATTTCCCATATCGATGCTCCAATGTGATGGTACATGCCGAATCTTGCTATCAGCAATAAGTTCTGAATAGCTTCCGCATCTTTGATCAATGGTATGCCTGCAAGATAGTGTTCAGCCGCAAGGTAATAGCCGTACGGATGCTCGGCACTCGGACCATCACCTTGGCAAGCGCGATGCCGGGTTGTATCGCTGATCGCAAATACCATAAAGAGACGAAAATAGTCCTGGGCCGAGGGTCTCTCTGATGTTGGCGAGACAGTATAAACCCGGTGGAAAGCGTCCAGCGTCTCGCTACGAAGGAGAAAAGTATGATGGACATGAAAACGGGTGAAGTAGTTATCGAACAACAGTTGTGCTTGCGCAGGTGGTGGTAGCGCTCGAGCGACGGGTCGATACTTAGCAATGCGAGGGCGCTTCGCTAGTTGCTCGAGGATTTGTGCGCGATGGTGTTGCCATTTGGTGTCAGAAAGGATGTTCTGTAAGAAGCCCAAACCGCTGCCATCGCCAACAAATCCGCTCTGAGTCCCCGAGCTCGTCGCCGTCTCGGGACCTGTTGGTGTCTGATTGGCGGCGTCAGATCTCTCGGTGGAGGCTGGCGTCACGACACCCGTATCGTCAAGATCGCCCAGCCTTCGCTGCAGACTGAGTTCCTTCTCTTCCAGCTGCCGGATGTAGGCACGTGCATACTGCTCACCAGTGATGGGATCGACGATAATGCAGGCGATGTTCCCCTTCCGACAGCTTGTGCATTTGGGTGCTTGCCTGTCGCATTTGACCTTACGCAGTTTGCACTTTTGACATGCGGGCAGCTGGTATTCGCGCTCTTCCATCGTGAAACATAGTCGTGGGTGCTGGCTAGCAGTTCACAAAGTAATTGTCGGGGGTTGATAAAGATGGGGAGGCTGGGGCAGTTCCAATCCTAGGGTATCGACCATTGGTGGCGCCGGCATGGGGTGACAGCCGAGAGCATGCGGGGGTCGCCTCGCCTCTCCACGCCTCCACAGACCATCGCATGGAAGACGCGATTTGTGGACCACTTCCAAGCTGCAAAGCCTGATCTCAGACTATCACATAGTTACGACTGTTTCTTGCGCGCGTCTGTTTAATGCTAACATAACAGGTCATGCTCATCGCTGCGTACAGTGAATAATGGGTATTTTAGCCACCCATCCTACCGTGTAACAGCTCGCCCTGCAAGTAACGCATTGATGTCTAAGGATCTAGGCATTACATCACGCGAAATGTTGATCTTGTAGTTCGTCACTAAACATCACGTCGTGATTTCTCTTGTTTAGTGTCTAGTAACACTTTAGCACGTATTCTTCATCAACGCTGTGTTATAACCTCTTAAAACAGTCCGTTGGAAGCGCCCCCTGATATCGCGCCTCTTGGTTCTTGGAATACACACGCAATCGACTGCGGGTTGCTGGATTCCGGACGATCCGCGAGTACTTTAAACTTTCAAGATTAAGCCGTGCTCGGCCCTTCATCGGCATCTGTGCATGCGAAGGTACAAAGTACGTGAGTGGCCATTATTGTTACTTGTTTGCATACTACCAGACTTTACCAATACCCATTCTCGAACTTAACAGCCGATTCTATTCAAACATCCAACATCATGGCCATGATCGTAGATATGGTGAAGAACAAGTGGGGCGCTCCACCCAAAGAGTCCACCGAATCGTTCGCGGGACGCAACGTCCTGGTTACGGGCGCCACCTCTGGCCTGGGATACGCGGCAGCGGCCAAGTTCGCGAAGCTAGGCGCCTCAAAAGTCATCATCACAGCACGAGACGAGACCAAGGGCGAGGCGACCAAGAGCAAACTCGAAGCAGACGTCGGCAAAGCAGGTCAATTCGAAGTCTGGCAGCTCAACATGGATTCGTACGATAGTATCGTCAAGTTTTCGCAGCGGGCCCTCGCCGAACTGGATCATCTGAGCGTGGCCATTTTGAATATTGGCATTTTCAATACTTCTTACAAGCAGTCGGAGTATGGCTGGGAGCAAGATCTACAAGTCAACACGCTTTCGACCATATTGCTCGGTATCCTTCTCTTGCCAAAGTTGAAAGAGTCGCAAAAGCAATCAGGCAAGATACCCGTACTGCAATTCGTCAATTCAGGCATGCACAAGGTCGTGGAGATCTCTGCCGACGTTCGAGACAAGCCCGCTATTCTACCCGAGTTCAACAAGGAAGAGAAATTCCCAGGCGGCCAGAAGCAGTACGGTTATTCGAAGCTCCTCCAGCGATACGCCGCCGTTCAGCTCGCAAAGAAGATCCCGTCCAGCGAAGTCATCATCACGGCAGTATGTCCCGGTGCGGTCGTAACGAACATCGATCGCAATGTCAAATTCCCTGGTGTCAAGATCGTCAGAGCGATCGCGCATGCTTTGGCGTTTAGAACGGCAGATCTTGGCGCCAATATATACATTACTGGCGCCTCGCAGAACCAAGAGCAACATGGGAGGTTCTATGCGACCGACAAGATCGAGCCTGATGCGCCGAGTATCGTAGGGGAGGAGAATGAGAAGCTTGCGCTTAGGGTGTTGAATGAGATTGTAGAGGAGCTGGCAAAGCATGTGCCGGAGGTCAAAGAACACCTACCGTAATACTTTCAAAGTAGTCTGTCCGTGGTAACGTTGAATCAATGCATCCTGTCAATAGTCTTACAAGGGTTATGACGAGTGAAAGTAACATTATGTTGCAGTCTGTGTTGGTGATAACGTGCAGTGGGGTGAAGGAAGACGGTTCACAGCTGGGCTAACGCACGCTTGGACCACCAGCTCCACCAAAAAAGTTCAGCGGCAGGCGCGAACTTCAGTGCAACCATCAGCGCATTCACCCACCACCAGCCTCTGCCAGACATCCAGAGCATGGCGCCGCCTTCCCACTCGCCCGATACGTCAATCTCTTCGCATACCCTCTCTATCGGCTCCGCGCAACCGCCGCCCATGGAACTTCCACCAACCGCGGCGACTTCGCCCACAAGTCTCCTCACCAAACCGCTAGCCTTCCTCCAGCCCACCGCCCAGCTCAATGCGACATTCCTTGCCGCGGCGAAACGATATCTCGATCCAGTAGCCGCCGGCGTAAGCGCGTCACAATCACAGCGACAGCAAGATCTGCGCAAGAAGCGGAAGCGGGGCGGCGGCTACGATGACGATATCAGCGTGCTGCACTTGAAGAAGGTGCACTTGGACGGATTCGGCGTAAACCAGGTGTTCGAACAGACGCGCAAGATCGTCGAAGCAACAACGGATGAGATTGAACTTTCTCTGCCCGACGACGACGGTGGCATTGTGGCTATTCGTCATGGCGAGGAGGACGACGATGAGGGCATTGACGAGGCCGAGGAGGAGTACCACACCGAATCAGACATTGGTGAAGAGGGCGTCGACTGGGAATACGATGGTGTGGACGAAGACGAGGATGAAGACGCGCTTGATGGCGAGCCGGATGAAGAGGACATCGACATGGAAGATGGAGCAGACGGCATCTTCTCCGACGATGCCTCAGACGATGCGCCCGCGGAAACCTATCAACCGGATCCCAACGGTCTCAACGACGGATTCTTCTCCATAGACGACTTCAACAAGCAAACCGACTTCCTAGAGCAACAGGATCAGAGGGGAGAGGGTGTGGACAGCGACGATGACGAAGTAAACTGGGAGGCAGATCCCATGGAAGACGGCCCATCCACAGGCAAAGTCAATGGTATCGCAGGAGATGCATCCGACGATGAGTCTGACGAGGGCGGACCAACCTTCGGCAACGTTGATCTGAATGCACCGGAAGGCGACAGCGGCGATGAGGACGACCTCGAGGACGGTGACCTGGACGGTCTTGACACCGGTATGAACGCCAACAACGTCATGTACAAGGACTTCTTCGCGCCTCCCGCGCAAAAGGCGAGCAAAAATAAGAACGGCAAGAAGCGCGGACGACCCAACCCCCACAACTTCCCCGAGAAGCAGTCACAACCAGCAGAGGAAGTTGAGGAAGACGTGGAAGGAACCATGGCCAGGGTACACCGAGATCTCTTCGAAGATGACGACGACATGGAAAGCGAGGGCGATCTCTCCGACGTAGACCCCTCAGACCCGAAGTCGAGACGATCAACACACGAGCGGAGACAGGCCAAGATCGCAGAGGAGATCAGGAAACTGGAAGCAGCCAACGTTGCGAAACGAGAGTGGCAGCTATCTGGTGAAGCACGCGCAGCGGATCGACCAGTAAACTCGCTTCTCGAAGAGAACCTCGAGTTCGAACGAGCCGGCAAACCCGTACCAATCGTCACACAAGAAACCTCCGAAGACATCGAAGCGCTCATCAAGCGCCGCATCCTCACCGGCGAATTCGACGAGATCCACCGCCGCCGCCCCGACGACCTCGCCACGGGCCCCCGACGAGGCCGCTTCGAGCTCGACGACACAAAATCGGGCAAAGGCCTCGCCGAAATCTACGAAGAAGAGCACCTACGCGAGACAGACCCCAATTTCGTCGAAGCCAAAGACGAGAAGCTGAAGAAGGAACACGACGAAATCACCGCGTTATGGAAGAGCATATCCGCCAAACTCGACTCCCTCAGCTCCTCGCACTTCAAGCCCAAGCCCGCAGCTCCCAACCTAGAAATCCGCACCGACGCGCCCGCCATCGAAATGGAAGATGCGCGGCCCACCGCCGGCGGCGAGGTCGCGAGCGCAAGCATGCTCGCGCCGCAGGAAATTTACAAGCCGGGCGAGGACAAGAGCAAGAGTGAGATCGTTACCAAGAGCGGCATGCCAGTTGCCCACGACGAGATGTCACGGGAAGAGAAGATGTCGAGGCGGAGACGAGCCAAGGAGAGGGCGAAGAAGGCTGGGCTTAATAAGCCGGTGCAGAAGAAGACGGAGGGCAAGGAGAAGAAGAGGGGTGAGAAGAAGCAGCTTGTTTCGGATCTTAAGAAGGGTGGTGTGCAAATTATTGGACGGAAGGGTGTTATTACTGATGTGGAGGGTAAGGAGGTTAAGGAGGCTGTGAAGAGAGGGGCTGGCAGCTTTAAGCTGTGAGGAGATAGATTGGGAATTCAAGTCGTGTTATGACATCTTCGAATGCGTTGCAGCAGGTCCAATTCACTTGATTCTGAAGCGCTGGTATGCGTGGTTCTACAGTCTGAACTTGCTGTCGTCTCTCCATATGTTCCTTCAATCCGGATTCGTTTGGCGATAGCGCACTACGTACCTCATGCTACCAAGCATAGTGCACATATCTTCATTACTCAAAAACGTCCATTCGCACTATATACATAAGCTACATCATTCCATCATTTCCATCATTTCCATATCATATCATCCAAACCCATTCACCCCGATCGCACCCCCTACAACACAACCATACCAACCGCACACCCCGCCGCCCCAATCACCATCCCCCAAACACTCCAAGCCCCCACAAAACTCGCCTGACTACTACTCGGCTGAGCCTTATCCGTCACACCGGACTGGCCACTCGCAGTCGCCGTACACTGCTCCCCACACGCATACCCATCGGGACAGCAATTGCCTCCCTGATCCGCAGCACAACTATACCACGCACTCGGACAACTTCCCGCACTCCCCCCATTACCCGCACCCGTAGGCGCAACGATAACAACACCATTCGTATTAACAATAGTATCCGTCTCGGGTAGCGCACAAGACCCCGTGGTCTGGCAATCGCGGCCAACGCGGCAGCAGCCCGAGGGGTAGTACGCGCTGCAGACGTAGAAGCCGGCGGGGCAGACGTTGTCGCTGGGGGAGGCGGCGTCGGTGGTTGTTACGGCGGCGCTGGTGGGGCGGACGGGAGCGTCG